TGTGCAGCCTATGGCACTGCTGGAAAAACTATTATATATTTATATATGTAACAGCGGTGCAATATTAAATTCACATCAGTACGAAATAGAAATTTGGATCAAATTTTTGAGATTGGAGCCATTTTAGGATGACAAAAGATTGTTTTGGACTTGGCTCAAGCCAACCTGAAAGGTTGATTTCTGGTTTTCACAATTGTACTTTGAAAGATGAAACCTTATCTGTACAATTACTTAAATCTAAATCTAGAGCACTAACTGGACTTTGTACGTTAAGACTTGAATTGTTTATATWAAACGATAAATGTAGATGCAAAAGAAAAAAGTTATATAAAAGCTCACTAAGCCAGACAAATGACTTATTTTCTATAAAACATTTTTTTTTATTTGAAGGGGAGAAAAAAAAGGTCTAAAATGATTCCGACTGAATCTTTGAAGTCCTTTTGTGGTTTCTGAACCACATGAAAAGAGTCATTGAAGCTTTGGAGGTAATCCTAATGGTGTTTAAGCTGTTTTGAGGAGCTTACAAGGTAGAAACCCACAGAAAATTGTTCAAGTCGTCATCTGATAACAGGAACAATACATGAGCTGTGTTTTACAGCAGGAAAATAAAACTATGCACCGACAAAATCAGGAGTATGACCCTGACATAGTTCCGCTCACTCTGTGTTCAGACATGACCGTGTTTTACACATTTGAACAAATCTGAATAAAAAAAAAMCATCCATTTCAAAGTTTCTGTAAAAGCTGTGGGACAATGACAACACAATCAAAACAACATCCTTTTAACCTGACAAACTCTGAGTGAATCCTATGGTTGCTTCTTTATCCATCAGTCCCTTGTCGACTCTTTGTTGAAAGCCTGTGTGTGTTTTCAGTAAAAAAAAAAAAAAAGGCCCACATGCGACCTCTGAAGACACAACCCCTCTTTTCGCTGACGCGCAGGGTGGGTGTCTGTTGTCTTATGTGGGCTCTGGGATGTGCAGCGGGGCCTTGAAAAACAAAAGGAACGACACGTTCCGACAAGTTTTGTCTGAGAAAAAGACGAAATGCGAGAATGTGGCTGGAAACACGCAGGGCGTTGCTGGTGAAAAGCTTCGGTTTTTTGGTTTTGACTTTGCCCCCTGATCGCTCATCACTTCCTGTGTTTGCGCTGACCTCATGCATGAAAGAGCAGCTGTGTGGAGGAGAAAAGAAAACGAAACACAGACGGGCATGTTTTACCAAAAATACTTTGAAATGTAAAACCACCTGAAATGTAAAACCACCTGGAATCACTTCAGCCTTCAGAGGAACACGTCAAAGTCATGTAGCTAGAATTACTGCAAGGACTAACAAGTCATTAAAAAATGAGCGTGTCAGTCATTACTCCGTATTATGTTCTCTTGTTAATATGCGACAGGTTGTGTATTCAAATTTATCCCAGACTGAGGTCACTAATCCACCCCCCCCACTATGTCTGGTTAGTGATGGGGGTGGGGGGAAGTGAAAGTGAAATGTCCTCTAGTAAAAAACCCAATGAGTGTTGGCAAAGCAGCCAAACGAAGATGACAGCACACATTCATATGCATTCATTTGTGTGCTCAGCTTGAAAAAGTCTGCCCTGCAGGACAACAAAGGGGAGGAAGGAAGCTGGGGGGGGGCTGCTAAGAATGCCCATTAAAGTGGGGGGTGACAACACACAACTTCACACACTGTGTGCAGCTTATGTCCTGAGATCTCTCCAGTCTCAGGTTATAGCTGGGACAGCTGGGCTAGCACGCTCCACATGGGCTCATTCTCTCTTTAGCAGCCAGTAAACCCCCCCCCCACCACCACACACACACACCCCTACCCAACCCTCCACAAAACAACAGTCTGCGATGCACACAAACACAGGATGCTCCATCCTGTTGACTGTTTACATTTCACAGTGGCTGGCCAACTTGGGAGGCTGATCACAGGCATTACAGCTACATGTAAGGTAGCCTGTCCCTGAAATTGTAGGTCTTAGTTTTAAGTACCCAGAAGAAGTTTGTACTCATTAAGTCTTCAGAACCAGCGGTCGAGGAAGGCCCACAGCTCCCAAATGACCCCAGTGCTGAGACTGTCTCTCAGCAAGTAGTTCATAAATGTAAAACATCCAAACTCCTCTCTGAGGATCAAGTGGGAAACAATATTTCAAGTCTACCTTTCAGAAACGAGAAGTTAAGTTGTGATGCAAGATGAGACAGCTGGGCCTGAGGGTGCTTTGACTTACACATCTGTTCAAAGAAATAAAAGGAGAGGACCAGAAAGAAGGACTGGCAGTGTGGTCCACAACAATAAGATCATTCCTGAGCCAAATGGACACCTGCTTTGTCCGAGGTGGGCCTGATGAGGACACAGCTGATATTTATCCACCAAAAGCCATTTGAGCTGTCTTTTGTTGTTGTTTAAGAATTAAATCTTTGCTACAGGTTATACAAGGATGAAGTTATCAGTTCAAAGCGGTCAGAGCTGAAATACTGTATATAAAACYCAGTCCCAGTTTAACAGATGGCAGAAACAGTACAGGAAATGTCCAACAGAGGTCGCTCTTGTAATATAAATTCGTAGGCTTGGCTATCACTGTTGCTGAACCTGATTGAATAAATTAGGCAGGCATTCAAAATACAGCTGATTAAAACCATCAACACTCAGCTCTGGAGCCTGAACTATTGGTTTTATGCTAGWTAAATTTGGTGTGTATACATATATATAAGGACTGATTTTATAAGAAATTCTTCATCAGTTAGAAACTTTTTGCTTGTTTTTATAATTGGAAAAACACTAAAAACAGAAAACTTTAGAATCACTTTAAAAACAGTATTTTAGAAACATAAACATGATTCACAAASAAAGAAAAATTACTAATATCTGTTGAAAGTATGTTTTTTTTGTAAATTTGGATTTGTTTTGATCAGTACATTATGTGTACAATTAGGTTTTTTTTGTCTTTTATTTTCTCAGACGTTTATAAAACACTCTCCTGTTGCGCTCTTATCTCATTGTCTCTGTGTTTATATCCATCCATCCATCCATTTTCTGTACACGCTTCTTCCTTTTCAGGGTCGCGTGGGTCACTGGTGCCCATATCCAGCAGTCACAGCGAGGGGCAGGGTACACCCTGGACAGGTCGCAAGTCCATCACAGGGCCACACATAGAGACAGTAATAAATGTGACCCATCGGCCCTGTTTTTAAATAATTTAGTATGATTATTTTCTAGTAAACAACTTTTGTGTGTTAGAACATAAACAAAGCACTAACATTACATTTTTAAATCAATGCATTTCCTGACAGATTTATCAGACTTTCAGACATAATAGTTTATGATTTTACACTAAAAACGTCCTTATTTTGAATATTATAAATATTAAAACGCCAGAAAATAGTCAGAAATCATGCAAACTGGACTAAAGAAACAGTTACATTTGTGCATTTGATGATAAAATTTTTTTTTGAGACACTATCCATT